TGTAGTCCACGAAAGCTTATGCTCTAATAAATTTGTTAGTCTCTAAAGTGCCACAAGTACTCCTGTTCTTCTTTTTTCTCTGTTGACCGTATCAAAAGCTTTGGTCAAATCTATGAAAACTGCATACAGATCCATGTTCTGCTCTAGACATTTTTCCTGGACCTGCCTTACAAAAAAGATTATGTCCATAGTACTATGACCTGGTCTGAAACCATGCTGCGCTTCTGGCAGATTCTCCTCAGATATGTTTGCAATGAGTCTGTTCAGTAGAATGAGAGCTAAATCTGTGCTGGGGCCAAAGAAAAGGGAACACTAGGATTGGTTTGATGAGAACAACAAGGACATCTCCAAACTCCTGTGACAAGCAGAAAGCATTTGTTGAATGGCAGAATGAATTCACTTCCATCTCAAAGAAAGATAGGTTTAAGTACCTACAGAGCAAGGCCCAGTCTGAACTAAGGAGAATGCAGGATGAGTGATGAGAGAGGAAAGCTGCAGAAGTCCAGCAGTACACAGATACAAACAACGCAAAGATGTTCTTTGACTCGCTCAAAGCAGTCTACGGACCATCTAAATCTGGCACAGCCCCCTTAAAGTCGACAGATGGCACAACCCTCATCAAAGACAAGGAGGGAATCATACAGAGATGGGCTGAATACTTCAGTACTCTATTCAATAGACCATCCACAGTCGATCGGTGTGTCCTTGACCGTTTACCTGAGAAACCTATCAGAGAGGATCTCGATCTCCCTCTATCGGTTGAGGACGTTATAAAAGCCATCAAACAACTGAACTCTGGCAAAGCATCTGGAAAGGATGGTATTCCAGCAGAACTGTATAAAGGAGCAGGCCCAAAGGCTATCAAGAAATTTCATGACATCCTGAGTAGCATTTGGGAAGAAGAAGAAATGCCACAAGACATTGGCCAAAGATGCTATTATTGTATCACTGTTCAAAAACAAAGGCAGCAAAGCCGACTGCGGAAACTACAGAGGTACTACTCTCCTCTGTACAGCAGGCAAAATATTAGCTCACATTCTACTGAAATCAGTAGTGATTTTACAATTACTTCCAGATCATTGTCAAAAATACTGAATAGCATCAGGCCTAGTGCTAATCCCTGCAGAACCTGCTAAAACACTCCCATTCAATGATGATTCCTCACTGAAAACTACTTTTTGCGATCTGTCAGTTACCCAGTTCTTAATTCATGTGTGCTTTATTGATATTGTATAGGCCCTAAGTATATTACATCTATGTACTTATGTTTATCAACCAACATTTTAACCTCCAATTAAATGATATTAGGTTTTTCTGACAAGACCTAATTTGTTTGCCCTTTTAGAATATTGACACAATACAGGCACTCCTTCAGTCTTATAGAATTTCTCCAGTATTACAACTAGTGGAGGGTGTGCCTGTACTGCACTGTACCCCCAATTAACAATCATAGCCCTGGTCTACACTACGAGTTTAGGTCGAATTTAGCAGTATTAGATTGATTTAACCCTGCACCCGTCCACACGACGAAGCCATTTTTGTCAACTTAAAGGGCTCTTAAATTCGATTACGGTATTCCTCCCCGACGAGGGGATTAGCGCTGAAATCGACCTTGCTGGGTCGAATTTGGGGTAGTGTGGATGCATTTCGATGGTATTGGCCTCCGGGAGCTATCCCAGAGTGCTCCACTGTGACCGCTCTGGACAGCACTCTCAACTCCGAGGCACTGGCCAGGTAGACAGGAAAAGCCCCGCGAACTTTTGAATTTCATTTCCTGTTTGGCCAGCGTGGAGAGCTGATCAGCACAGGTGACCAAGCAGAGCTCATCAGCACAGGTGACCATGCAGTCCCAGAATTGCAAAAAAGCTCCAGCATGGACTAAACGGGAGGTACTGGATCTGATCACTGTATGGGGAGACGAATCCGTGCTATCCAAACTCGGTTCCAAAAGACGAAATGCCGGAATATTTTAAAAAATCTCCAAGGGCATGAAGGACAGAGGTTATAACAGGGACCTGCAGTAGTGCCGCGTGAAACTTAAGGAGCTCAAGTAAGCTTACCAAAGAACCAGAGAGGCAAACGGCCGCTCCGGGTCAGAGCCCCAGACATGCCACTTCTATGATGAGCTGCATGCCATTCTAGGGGGTGCTCCTACAACTACCCCAGCCCTGTGCGTGGACTCCATCAATGGATTCTCATGCAACAGGGATGCGGATTTTGGGGACGAGGAGGAGGACATTGAAGATAGCGCACAGCATGCAAGCGGAGAAAACATTTTCCCTGACAGCCAGGAACTGTTTATCATCCTGGACCCAGTACCCTCCCAACCCACCCAAGGTGGGCTCATGGACCTTGAAGGCGGAGAAGGGACCTCTGGTGAGTGTACCTTTGTAAATATTGTACATGGTTTAAAAGCAAGTGTGTTTAATGATTAATTTGCCTTGAAGACTTGGGATGCATTCGCGGCCAGTACAGCTACTGGAAAAGTCTGTAAATGTGTATGGGGATGGAGCGTAAATCCTCCACGGACATCTCAATGAAGCTCTACTGGGTGTATTCCCAAAGCCTTTGCAAAAGGTTTCTGGGGAGGGCTGCCTTATTCCGTGCGCCATGG